TTTGCCGACCACTGCATACTGACCACTGGTTTTATGCTTTTTTTTTCTTTATGAATTCTTTTCACAGAGAGAGGAAAGGAGAAGATAGAAACATTGATGGGAGAGGGACATCGATCAGCTGCCTCTGCACGCCCCCTACTGGAGACTGAGCCCACAACCCAGGCATGTGCCTTGACTGGGAATCACACTGTGACCTCCTGGTTCATAACTTGATGCTCAACTACCAGGCTACACTAGCTGGGCTTTTCAGTTATGTGGTGAATAGAAGGAAATTAGTCAACCTGAATTTCTATGGAAACATTTTTTTTCTTCATGCCAGAATTATTCTTAGTACCTTAAATATAGAATTTCAAGCTGAAAAGAGAAGATTCCCAATTATCAGGGGGATAAAAGATAAATAGGATGAGACTGCTTGTGTACATAATGTTTGCATAGTTTAGTGTCTCTGTGTGTGTATGTATTGTGTAATATATGTGAAGGAACTTTCTATAATTATTTTTCACCTAAAAGCTAATGGTATTCCTGAAACATCTTCTTACAAAAAAATAAATCATGTAGCCCTCCAAAGTGGTCCCTGAGTATAGAAACTACATATATTTCACAGGAGACTGTTTTAGTAGTCACTCCATTTTGGTTGGGCTCAGAAATCCCAAATCTCTGGAACTATGAGACATCCAATCATGGAGTCAACACAGAGCTCATTGCCTGCATGTGCTACCATAATGCAGTGTGTTCTTATCTTCTTGAAGCCACACATGGGCTGCTTAATTAAACACCCATATCTCCTGTTGTATGTGTTAGCCATTGTTGCAATAATGTGTTAGCCGTTGTTGCAATTACTTCAAAACTCAGAGGCTTAAAACAATGAATAATTTAACTTACAATTGTGTGAATTGACTATTTAGACTGGGCTCAGCTAAACAGTATTTCTGGGTTTGGCTGAGCTCACTGTCATGTCTGAATCGCACCTGGCTGTTGGCTGGCTATCCTTAGCTAGGATAACTAAAACTCCTCCAGCAGTTGAGGTCAGGCATATCTTGTGGCAATCAAGGAGAAGCAAGAGTAAGAGTTGAAACAAGAAAGCATCTTTTCAACCTCCGCTTCCATCATACCTTGCAATAGCAAATTAGCCAAAGTGTCAGTTTCCTACCATACTATATCACAATATATTACACATGTTATGTGTGTATATATGTATATATGTATTATATATGAATTATATATGTAATTTATATGCACACACATATACACAATATATGTATATCCTACAATAACAGGGGCTGACTAAGAAAAATAATATAACATGACATATTATATATTTTATTATATAACATTATTATCTACATGTGTATTTTATATATTTATTATACTATATAAAATAAATTTAATTTTTAAATTACTTTTTATGTATTTTTCAACCTTTTTCTACTTCTTCTACCCACCCCCAGTTTCTTGCAAATATTTTTCTATTCTGTTTCTCTGAGTTCAACTTTTTTAAAGGTTCCACATATAAATGATACCATGAAGTTCATTTCATTTCAATTTCAAAAAAAGATGAATATGAATGAGTAATCAGTCTAGTTATTATGCATCACTGTTCATAATAAAACTATTTCAAACATCATAATTCAACAAATTAAAGAGATTTCCTTACCCTCAGATAGATTTTAAATGATTTATGAATTATTCCAGTTATAAAGTTCTGATACAAGAGACATTTTTCACTCTGATTGCCATTACACTTACCCAATTGTATGTCTGTGCATGAAGGTAAGCCATAGTATGGAAATACATCCATGCCTTCTCTACATTCCTAAAGCTACACAAAAAGTCATCCCAGAAAAGAGACTGCTACATACCTCCTCATTCTTATTGTTTTTGATCAAGCTCTTCATACTGCAACACTCGCATTTCATTAATTCTCACAGCTATCAATCTACATCCTTTTCTTATTTGATATATTTGGGAGGCAGCCTTGGAAAACAGCTACTTTCTACACCTGACCTACCATCTTATATCAGGACTTCAGGTGTAAGGCAAGGACAATAATTTCCAGCCAACATTTTCTCATGTTTTATACATTTAATCAATCAACAATTATTTATGAAGTAACTGCTAAGTTCTACATACATGTTACATGCCAGAGGAAAAAGAGCTATGAGAAAATGCATAGTATATTCTCTCATTGTATTTATAGTCTAGTAAGTTATGTAGGTAGATGATTAGAAAAAAGTAAAGTGAGACAAGGACAAAGTTTAGGAAAGCAAAGAGTGATATGAAGGCACATAGAGTCCCACTCCAGTCCCAGCCTTAGTAGTGAGTAAAAGGCAGCTGGAGTCTGTGATGCCTAAGCTGAGACCTGAAGGTTTGGTAGGAGTTAATCAGGTTGAAGGATAGAAGCAATAGGGGAAGGGATCTTAGGAGTAGAAACAGCACATAAAGGCAATAGAGATCATAGTGAATTTCAGGGCTGAAAGACAAAGTTAATACACACACACACACACACACACACACACACACATACACACACACACTAGTGACCTGGTACACGAATTTGTGCACATTGAAAGGAAATTAATTAGAAGAAATATTTTAATATCGCTATTTGCCCTTTCTCTACTGGTATAATAGAAGTGACAACCAAACTCACAATCCACAATGACAGAAAGAAACACACACGTGCCATTGGAGCCAGCGAGAGCTTTATATGTATCGTGCATGCGGGAGTCAACTTAGCCATATATATATATATAAAATGAACTTGCTTAATTAGACCTGCTTTCTGATTTATCTAAACTTTTTCCAGACCAGTGAAGCACCCCAACTTCTCTTTCAGGTAATTGTCAACAACACAGCAGTAAATAACAACACGAAGCAGATTATTATTGTAGATCACACAGAGAGAACAAAGGGTAAAATATTTAACTGCAGCCGTGTTTGATTATATTCTGCACAGTGAGAAAATCTGAAGTCATTTTCAAGGTCCACCATTTCTTACTTCTTTTCAATCAGGGCAAGTTTCTAAGCTTTCTCCATTTTCCGACTAATGAAAAGAAAATAGGATTCCACCGAGTCTCCTATCTACCTACTCCAGGACTTCTGTGAGGATCAAATGAGATGAGGCACCAGGAAAATGCTTCACAGACACTTGGTTAAAGTGTGAAATGTTTCCACCTGGCTATAAAGCAAGTTGTGTTCCTGGGTTGAAGAAACTGTAAGGAGGCTAGTCATCACTAAGAAGAGGAATCCAGGCGTTGCTACATGATGTCATTACCCGGAGCCCACAGCCATTGTTTCCGGGCTGGGCTGGGATGTGGGCCACATTTTGTACCATGGGGTCTCCACAGCATTGGCTGAGACTTGGTGGGGTGTTGTTCCAGGTTGGTGGTGGGGCCTGTGTCCCACTTGGGAGAAGCTGAGCATTGCTTTTTTGGCACCAAGTCTGTGGTGCTGTTTCTCTATAAATGGCCAGTGCGCATCACAACAGGTCCTGCATTAAGCATCTTCCCCCTGGTGGTCAGTGCATGTCATAGTGACAGGTAGGATGGGCGGAAGGACACTTAGCATATTAGCCTTTTATATATCTAGACTAGGGGCCCGCTGCATGAAATTCATGCACAGAGGGAGGCCTGCACCCTCTCAAATCAGAGATCCCTCTCACAATCTGGAACCACTGGCTCCTAACTGCTCACCTGCCTGCCTGCCTGCCTGATGCCCCTAACTGCTCCCCTGCCGGCCTGATCCCCCTAACTGCCTAACTGCTCTCCCCTGCCAGCCTGATCTCCCTAAGTGCCTAACTGCCACCTTCTCCCTTCTGCCTTCTCCTGTGGTGCCTTCTCCCACGGCCTCTGCAAAAGGGACTGCAGCGCTGAACCGGCCCTCACAGCTGCTGTGGCCGGCCCTCAGCCCTTGCAGCCTCTGTGGCTTTGTCTGGAAGGATGTCTGGAAGGTTGCTTGGCCTAATTAGTATATTACCCTTTTATTAGTGTAGATATTTCTCAAGCCAACAATGCAATGTAGCCATAATATCTATTTTAGAAATGAGCTATAATTTTTTGTGAAGTTACAAATGTGTTTTCTCTTGAGATTCTTCTAATAATTTTTTTATTTGACACCTAATATGTGATTTGGGCTCAAATATAGGAGATGCAACTATAAGCAAGTGGACATTGTGCCTGCACTCAGGAAACATGTAATACTGTGGAATATATAACAAAATGTAATCAAAGCTATCACAGGAGAAAAGTGAACCATGACCATCTAATAGAGACATCTAAACTGGAAACAGAATAAAAGGGAAGGCTACCTAAAAAGGGTGATATCTAAGTTAGACTCACAATAGAGTTAGTGAAAAATAGAGTCAGGAAAAAATATTATAGGAAAACAGAAACAGAATGCGCAAAGGTATAGTCAAGATTTAGTGTAAGAGAATGACACTAAGCTAATTCAAAATGGCTGGAGAATACAACTCAAAATGGGCAACCGAAAACATAAAACTAGAACAATATGCAGACATCACTTTGTAAAAATAATTTTGAGCCATTATAAGATGCTTGTACATTATCTTGAAGGCACTGATATGCACTGAAAGTGATCTGAAGAAGCAAATGGTATAATAAAATGTTAACTATTTTTCCCTTGATTTTTCTTTTTCTCTGAATCATGGAGTAATTCTGTACTCTAATACAGTATATTGATAGGCCTTTCCTTCAACCAAAAAAAAAGAGACATATATTGGATGGAAACTTATTCAAGAACGCCCAAATTTTAATCATTTCTCAGCCTGGCCAGAGGAGGGCACTGTTTTAAAAGTATTCTAGATGTACATGGTTCTCTGTACAGGGTGAAAGGGCTGTGATGTCTCTGATTGGCTGTCCCCCTAAGTTTCAGTATTCTAGACACAACTGCAACAGACCTCGCTCTGAGCTCAAAGTAATTCCTGCTGAGGAAGCCCATGCAGAATCGGACACGGTCTGTTGGATTTGCTGGGGAGCCAAGGGATGGATACTCTCCTGAACGTGCTTTTAGGCACTCTGTTGTGGCGATTGGCTTGTGAGTACCCGGTCAGCCTAGGAGAGGCTTATCATGGTGACAGCAGCCTGAGGGCAGAAATGGGGTTGTCTTTCTGACCTGGGGAGGGCTCTTATGAAAACCATACATATTCTATAATTATGTGGGGCTGTTTATGTTTTGAGTAAGGAAGGAGGAAAGAAAATTGTCCTTCCTTTTATGAGACTGAGCATCTCATGTGGGTTTCCTGTGTCCTTGAATTGTTTTTCTGATCAGGTGTGAGAAGCCAAGAAATGCAGCAGAGTCCTCAGTCCTTGATCATTCAAGAGGGTGAAGAGGTTACCATCGAGTGTAAATCCTCACAGCCTTTGTATTCCCTGCACTGGTACTGGCAGAAGCATGGTGAAGGTCCCGTCTTCTTGTTGATATTAAGAAAAAGTGGAGAAGAGAGTCTTGACAAAATAACCGCCACATTGGATGAAAAAAAGCAGAACAGCTCCCTGTACATCACAGACTCCCAGCCCAGTCACTCAGGCACCTACTTCTGTGCAGGCGCAGCAAAGTGATACTCAGGCCTCCGAAGCTGTACTCAAATCTGAAG